GGCGTATTTGGCTGCCTGATCAGATTAGCGAAAATGTTCTTCAGAACAAGCCCTGTGTGGTCTGCCAAAGGAGAAGGAAATAAAAAAGCAACAAAGCATATTTTTGGAACGATAAGCAGAGATGGGTCTGCATTTCAGTGGCTCAGATATAAGAATCTTTCTGGAATAAAAAAGGGAAATAAGGCAAAAATGATAATACTGACATGCTGTTGAAGATTTTGGAAATCTATGAACCACTGGTCATATAGTCTGGGATTGGGTTTTATCTGGAAAAGGAAAAGAAAAACTGTCCTGCCCAATAAGGGAAGACAAAGAGAGCTCCTTTCTAGGTAGGATTGTATTTTTTGGCTATAATTTATAGGATGAATTATTAATTTACAAGTAAGTCCCTAGTTCAAGAAACTGTCTCTTTAATAATACAGAGCGACCTCTGTTTCCGTTACCCTGGAAACTCAATACCCAAGCAACAAAATAAATAAATCAATCAATAAATAAACAGCAATGGCCATTTTCCTTTCTGGATATGCACATCCTACCCCTCCTCCCCACTTTATGTTCATCTTCATCTCTTCCCCAACGGAAAAAAAAGCTTATTTGAAGTCAACCCAATCACAAATTAAGGAAAGCCCAATAAACAAACATGATTTAAGGCCAACCCATCTGTTTATGGCTTCTGAACTGTTCCCAGAAAATAAATATTTGTATGTATGTTTCCATCATAAAGCTTCCGTTACAGCTTTGTTATTGGTGTTTTAGCCATTGTAAAAACTGTGTGATTCTTTTATACTTTCAGGAGTTGCTACCAGATCTAGTATGAAAATCAGTAAACTGGATACAACTTCATTTTGAATTTCTTCGCGATACAGAATACTCATCATTACCCATCTGATACAGCCCTTACACCCACTACCACCTGCGTCACTTGTTAAATCCTCTTTTGATTATCAAGTCCGCCCGATTAATGTAGTATTGCCATTATGGAAAAGGAAACATTAGGCCAGGTTATTAGACTTGGTTCTTGCTGTCAACCTCAATTCCAAACTCTATGACAAATCCCTGTATACTGCAGTACCTGTGTAAGATGACCTCTCATTAACTCTCTGAGCAAGAAGGGGCAATCTGTTTTTAATGGGACATGAGCAGGCAGATGAGGTAAAGTCACAGTAACACAGAGAGGGCACAGATTAAAGCTAATCAGAAAACTGAGAGTAGCTAGTGCATTGTTATAAGTGAAAATCTATTTTAGATGCAAGGGAACTGGCCATCGATTCCCCCAAGGCTTCGGTGAGCATGCTCCCTACCCAAAATCGTAACATGCCAAGCTCTGTCACAGATGGTAGACTTTGACAGCTCCCATCCGTGGCATCGATACTCTACAGTTCTGCACAAGATCAGTGACATTCTGTCTCATTAGAGCCATGCTAATTATCACAGCTAGTTTCAGGGGAAACCATGTGTTGCAATGGTCAATTTGAAGGAGTTTGTGCATCAACAAACTGGTAATAAGGACCATGCTCCTTATTATGTGACAGCAGGCTGCCTGTGATCTGATTTATGGAATCAGAAACACTCAGGATGAATCGGGGCATGCTAACATGAAAACAATTTGTATTAATGAATACAACTGACATTTCTTAATAGTGTTCAGTGAAACCAATGGCTATATTACCAAGGCTTTGCTCTTTACGGGTATCCAGCTAGCTGTAGGACTGTAAAGGTTATCAGTTCTTTCTAATCAAACATGATTTGGCACTAGGGGTCAGAGAAGGAAGTGCCGTTCCTTCTCAAGAGAGATCATCGAAATATGATAAAACACTTTAGAACTTAGAATTTGATTCATGCAAAACAAATCCATTTCTTAATGTCTTCCCTTTGTCATTTTACCTTTGGTCACTATTTGCTGCTTGTATTGCACATCTAACTGCAAAATGGGGAAGAAAAAATGCAAAAAAACAGTACATTCAAATGAGTACTAACTGGAATTTCTTCTTAGTTAAGAACAAGACTACAAATATGATCACTTTAACAACTGAGGCACAAAATAAAAAGGCAAAGAAGCCTAACCATAAAAACAAAGGGCCAAATTACATCAGAATCTTAAATGCATCTTTAAAACCTGGCCAACCAAACAATGGAGCAACAGCTGTTCCTGTCTAACTGCACTGTATGACCCTCCTAGTCAACACACAGGCAACAGTTTAGGAGGATGCTCTGCTCATCAGGATAAACTATAGCAAATTCTAGAACTATAGCCAATCATCTCTCTCTATAGAGCCACCTGTTCGAAAGCAGCTTTTATAAACCAGGAAATAATTTTCACCCCCCCTAAACATTTTTGAAGTTAAAAAGTGCTTGTATGACTTGCATTGTAAAATAGAATTGGATAAATACTTTGTATGTATACAAGTATTATCCATACTAAAAGCTATCAAGGGTTAATAATCTTCTGTATAGCTGATTTGTGAAATATGTTAAGATGTTGATGAAACAGAAAAAAGAACTTGACCTTTTAAACAGTTTATAAATGATTATTGTGTATTATCACTACAAAAGGCTCATTCAAGCTGTGGTGCAAAAAGCAACTGAACTACAAGAGTACATGTAATGTGCTTCTCTTCAGTTTTAATAAGGAAACTGGCTCAAAATCTGCTAAAAGACAGGTAGACAAAAATGAGGTTTGCTAACAGCAGGTTAAATAACTTGCAGACTTATGCATTGCAGATTTACATATGATATATATTGTGTAATATAATACTGACAGAGCAGGTGCATTTTGATTATTATCCCATAACAGGAATATAAAAACAAAACTACTTTGATAAGATTTCAGTTTAATAAGCATCAGAACAGCAAGAACATTGTTTTCCCTAGTAGTAAATTTTCTAAAATGACAGCAGCAGCTGAATGACTTGGCTTTAACGTTATTTTTCATTATTCCACTGGGAACAGTGTTTATAATTGGTGTGCTGTAGTTTGTTGCCAAAATGTCACAACCTTGTCTACTATGGACTTGTATCCTGTGTGAATGACTGCTCTGAAAGGGTGACAATGGAAACAGCTGTCAGTTATTTGTAGCCTTCGCTGTTCTCCGGGCCTCAATGGAGTCTCTTAAAATCCTATACCTGAATTTAATTCTAAATAAAAGAAGGCTTCCAAACAAAATGTCTGCAGTGTAGATGAAGGAGACATGAAAAGATGTTCAGGAAGCTTGACCTTCCACCGTTATAAGCAACAAGTAACATTGACATCAGAATGAAATATACTCAACAAATGATGAAAAAGCACATTTTTTAAACATAAAATAAAAATTTTAACTAACAAGGTACAAAAAAATAGAATATTCCATAGAAACTTACAATTAAAATTGTGTCAAAATGTCTATATATACAAATCTGACAACCGGACCTGGACACACCTCGGTATGGTGAGGCCTAATCTTTTTATTAATCCTCAGTGGAAACCATATGGCTGATGTGGGTGGAATCAAAATCCCCCCCCCCCTTCCAGTTCCCCCCCCCCCAGGTCTTTCTGGTCCTGAGGGACAACAGCAGCAGCAACACTAAAGCCTTCCCTCCATCTCTGAAGGTTGTACCAAGTGTGCCACACAACAATGCTCATGCCAGCCTCTTCACCAGAATGCCAAGACTCCATTTTGCGTGCCATGACTGAGAATTCCTATACTGTATACAGCAAGCATGGCAATCAGATATGCATATGCTGCCTTCTGCTAGGATTGCAAGCCAGTCCCCTTAAGTATTAGGAAGTGCCCCAGCTGCCCACAGAGTCTATATTACGAGATGGAGCTTCTGATAATGACTCTCCCAGGCACCCTTTTAGCTACATAATTAGCACTGTTCTTATCTTGAGCTGAATTCAAACCAGAGATGAATAGAAAGACTATGTGGAAGCACAGTGTTGAAATATAAAAAGTGCCTGTCAACCACCCAAATCTCTTGAAAAATAATTTTCTGAAGACAATTCAATGTATTTGCTGCAACAAAACCCTCACAAAATGAATGGGGTGGCCTTTATTTTCCCCATCTTTGAACCCCCTGACAAAAACACTGGTTTATGCATCAAACTGCAATTTGATAAAACAAAGATATCTTAAGCTATAATCAGCTCAATCAGCAAAACATACTGATACTTTGAGATAATTTGGGCCTTAATCAAATTGAATTTTACGCTGAGTAAGGTTCTGAATAATGTTAACCTGCACACATACAGATATACAAAACCTTTATTAAAACTGCAATTAAAAAAAATTCCAGCAACCCCATTATTACAGATTTAAATGACAGTAATTTTACTTGCAAAACCCATGATTCATGGTTGGGTTGCTCTCTGAGATAGATTACAGCGCCTGATGTATGACATATTCAGAGCTATGCTAATGTAAACACACTTGTTTAAACATAAAACATCTTCTGGTGTTCTCAAACCCACAATAAAGGAGATGTGTCATTGTGGAAATTATTACTTTGAAAGTGATTGTGGGTTTTGAAACTATGCGGCCTTGTATTCCTTTAATTTTCTTTAGGCCAAAGTATAGATTCCCTTATTTTTCCTCTCTAAAAACTCTCAAACTGTTGTCCATTCTGATTATTTTCACATTCAGGTGAAAAAAGGCTCTAAAATAGTCCTTGTCAAATTTAATGGACAGTGGCCGAAAGATTAAAACTGATTGATGTTAGTATACTGCAAGTTCCAACATGTGAAGCTTTTCAAGCATGCCTGAATACATACCAAATTTTAAACCGTAAGACCCTCATAAAGCTCACTGCCTAAAAAAATATTCAATTAAAATCTAATCTGATGTCATTTTTTCCACACTTCACACAAGTACAAAAGAGAAACTTTTTAAATGGAGATTATGGTTAAAATACACACAAAGATATAATTAAATTAATTAAACTGAAAGAAAATTAGAATAAGTGTTGTGAGAAAGAACATAGCTGCTTAACCCAGTTTTTTGTTTTAATGCATTTATCACATCTTACTTGGCTTTTTGATGCTGCAACCTTCGCGAACAGGGCTTGAGATACTTTAGCCCTCTTCATTTCCTGCTGTATCTCATCATAGATGGAAGCATTAATATTCAAGACACAACTGTCCGGTTTTCCATTCCTTTCTATGGGGATAGGAGATGGTTTCACCTAGATAAAGAAAATAATGGGATTATTCAGATACACCAGGGAAAACCCACCTCACAAAAAATGTCAATTAAACCATATTTATAATTGGATTACACAGCACCAAAGAGACTTTTTTGAGTTACCCAAACAAAGTGGATTCCTATTCTCAGAACCCTAACTTTGACAATAATTACGCAAGCTGCACTGCAGCAAATTTTATCTTTTGCAGTGTGTGTTATCCTGAAAAGTCATTATACTATAATCTTTCATTGCTTCTGAATGATAAAAAATTGATTGATCAATAATGACTTAAGTAATCTGAATACTCAAGATTAAGACTAGCTACAAAGATCACATGTAATTGGATTTTTTCCAAGTCATGACAGAGAAATGACCATCTTATACATTAAAAACTGCCACACCCAACTGTTTTCAAACTGGAAATATTGTAATAGTGCTGTGGCTAATAAACCATGATATACATGTCATGCATTAATGTAATTCTCTATTCAAACTTATTTATCGAAGACATACAGCCCTAATGAGCTTTGTCAACTGGCAAACTTTTTGTAAGTGTAATAAACTTAATTTTCATGCCTACTGATTACTCCCTCTTTTTAGATATGTGCATTTGTACAGAAAGATTTTAATGTTTTAATGTTTATCAAAACTATACATACTTGAATCCTTGAATTCCAATCTTCAGGTCTAGAATTATTACACTCTTCTCTTCTTGGCTAGGGTTTTAAAACAACAGAGTTAGTACATTATGACAAAACCAATAAAAAAAGGGGAAAAAGCATTTACATGCCTTTTACATGATGTATCGATTCTTACAATACATCATTTAAAAATAGGGCAACAGAGATTACCGAAATTAACTGTATTAGAGTAAGACATCAAATCATTATGGCCAAAGTATTATTTTTTTTAAATCACAAAATTAAATCTTGTTGAAATTGGATTTATTCTGTTCCCTCCTCTTCCTTAAAACGTTTGAAAGAGCTGCTGTGAATCCATTTGTGTTTGGCTGCCATGGATATTTTAAATCAACTAGCAGGTAGACAGACTTCTCATGTTCTCACCAGACTACAACATCGCCTCTGCTACTCTAATACTCTCCACACTTGTGACATTATAACAGGATCATCCCTAGGAGAATAAAAGGCTAAAACTTCACACGAGGCTTCAGACAAAGCTCTGAATACTTCTAAATAAAAAGGCAAATAGTAAAACAATGTATCAACAAATACTGTAATTTCTCATATCATGCCACAATTACATATTTAACTAAAAAATAAAACATTCAACAAATTATACTGCTACATATTATACAGAATGCTGCTATAAAATGTTTTTAGTAAATGTGAATGAAGCCTAACAGACTATTACTGTAACTATGAACTTTGATAATGTCTGTATCCAGTTGCTAAAGACAAAAAATAAAATCACTCAACAGTAATATTGATAAGAATAATGCAGTCAATTCATTTAGGTCAATGTTATTACTGTTTTTAAAGAACCCCTAATAATCAGCTTTCAAAACACCTGTAAAACATTATACTGTCTCTCCAATATAGAAGTATTCACATTATAGCCCAGTAATGCAAAGATAAACCTTCAGTATGAACTCGAAACAGTATTTAAAGTTGAGTAAAATGTAACAAAAGTTTTATTGACAGTGAAATGAAAAATAAACACCCAACTGCTCCGTCTGTGCATATTTCTTTAGCAAAAAAAAAAAAATAACTTGAGCTACAGCCTACTCCTTCCCCATGAAATAACCGTCTTTTGTATTGCAGGATATTTGATACTGATAACACTGCAGGCCCATATTAACTGTTGACCAGCTGGCAGACTATCTGTGTATGTCTGATGTACTGGAAAATAATAACCTGGGAGGTGGGACTGCCTCCACACATAATCAAATTATTAAACCACAAAGGGCCTTGGTTGATGAAAGTGAGCATGCTCTGTCTGAGCCTCTGATGCTAAAAGGACTTGGCAGTAGCCAACCAATGAAATGCCTGTTCCTACATATGTATCTTACAGTGGGGTTTATGTAGCATGCTAAGGAAAGTGCTTTGGTGAAAGGATAAATACAATCATTTGTTTTTCAAGAACAAAATTCTGTCTTTTCCATAAACCATTTTCTGTGAAGGATGAAGATCATTTGTAGCTTAAAATATGTTTCCAGTTTTTTTAAACAATTTTACTCAGCCTTTCCTGCCAAAGCTAATCATAGCAAGTGTAGCTTAGAAAGCGTCATGTTCAGGGTTAACAATAAGAAAAATAGAGTGGAAGTTGTCAAGTGCTTTGTACATGCAATGCAAACAGCTGGAGATCTGAAATCTACAAAATAAATTAAAAAAAAAAAGTCACTCACAGTGCGGATGCAGGGGTCAAACCTACAGTGAAATCCTTGTTAACCTCCAAGAATAACACCTGGTGCAAAATGAGACTGAAAACTAGGGCTTTTGTCATAAGTCTTCAAACCAACCAGTAATCTCATAATGCTATCTGATGTTCGAAAAGCTGGCATCTTGACAAGATCAAAATGCCGGGTTGTGCTACTGTTTATGCACACGCCATACTGGCCCACAGCACTAACAAGCACTCTGTATAAAAGATCACCGACCGCATCGGCCACGGCCTCAACTACTAAAGCAGCACGACGAAGGCGCTTTTTATCCTTTTGTAAAAGTTGTGCTTCAACAGGCTGAACGGGGACTGGCTTTGTCCCATTTTATTCTCACCCCCAACAAAGACACAGACAACCACTTTAAAAACTTATTAAAGTGGAAATAAGTATGCCCCTTTAAAGACACTTCTATGTGAACTGCTGGGAGATGCACAAGCAGTGTCTAAACTGATTCAGCACAAATAATTGAACATCCTTCTACTTTTTCCATAAAAATGAAGCGCAAGTCGGAATTTTGGAAATGCATTCAATTGCCCATTTTAGTTTTCACTGAAATTCTAAGTAGTGTTGTCTTGGGCTGTGGATACATTCCTGTACTCCATGCCTAAATGATTGCTTTAACTTTGAGTTACTTTAGAAACATGGGTCCATTGTCACATACCTGCACAGGGCGGTTAGGAGGAGTGCTTATAAGGGGTGTAGGTCCCATTGCTGACGCAGCAGTCAGGCTTCTCTCCCTCTCATCTTGGTAGATTCGGTCCCTTTCTGCCTCAGGCAGCTGCAGGAAATTCTGCATTGCCCTCAGGTTGACCAGCAGAGACTGAGAGGCAGTCTTGGGGTCCTCTTCCTTTCGCAGGATTTCTGAGAGTAAGCCCTTGTGTGAAATAAATACCCCATTTCAATAAAAAAACAGCACGATTTCCCAAAACATGAACTGTTAGGTTAACTTGCTCATGACACTGTCTTTCCTCTAAATCTCAAAGCTGAATAGTCAGTCCTGTGGAAGAACATTAGGTATTACTTAGGTCGCATGGATAAAAGCCTGAGTTTTGCACTTATAATAGCAGAAATTCTTACACTATTTTGCTGTTAAAATTGTTAAACCTGTACTAAATGTTAATCTTTTCCCTTCAAAAGCAGAAACGTGTCATTTTAGAAACACCCAAAAAAAAAACATTTTGGATAGGAGTACTCATTGTGCATTTTGTAAATAGTTTACAATACAATATCTGGACAAAATACACAGAGCTATATAAAAACAAAGAATTGGCTTCTACAGAAACTACACTTATATACAGAATAGTCTGTAAGCAACATAAAAACCCGTCTTCTAACAGTGTATATGATGTAATGACATTCTTAAAGATTATGCTCCTGTGATGCACAGCAGCCTAATGCATTCTTCTCTGCAACCTGGCTATAGACTAAAACAGATCCCATTTAAAAACAAATGTCAATATTGAATCCTTTTATCAAAAAAGGGGTAGGGAAATGATTATCAGTTTAGAGGACCTTTCCAGTTAACTGCAATTCAATGTGTTCCAAAATATGCTGCAATAATGATGGACTCCTAACATGAACAATTTGCAAGAGCACTTCTTTAAGGCAGACTGCCCCGTAATAAAAGATCCATCTTTTGATCTGGACACCTTCCACTTAGATATTTTAATTAATTGAACCAACTCACCATAATTAAAGTTATAGGCTATGTGGTGTTCTTGTCCCTCCACACTACCTGGCCTGACCACAACAATGTTTCTTCAAATTTACTAAAGGTGAGGAGAAGTTGCTTTAATAAAGACGGGAAGGAGTGCTTCAAATTACCAAGGCTTTGCTCTTAGGGGGGAAAAGTATTTCCAGAGTTGCTCACAGTTTAGGATAGTGGTTTACAACTCAATTCTTTGGAGGGTCTCCTGTTTCCTAGTTTTTAGTCCAGCCTGAGTGAGCAATTAAACAACTTAATTTCTTCTTAGTGTGACATTTATAGGATTATTCTTTAGGTGTTTTACGAGAAAGAAGCATATCCACCACATTAAAGAGCCTGGTTAAAAGTAGTACAGCAATTCAGAGAATATGACCATTAGTGTAATAGGGCTCAAGTGGAACAAAAACTGGAAGACCATTTTAACCCTGGTTTACCAGGACAAGAGGTTATTAATACATTCAGCAATTTTCAGCAAATTTTAAAAGCAATGACAAATTCAATAAAACAGCATTTCAGAGGTCTAAACTTAGAATGTGCAAGATTAGTTCTTTCAGCTTCACACAAACTCAAGATTCTCTTAACTCAACCTTTCAAGTTAGAAATAATAAAATTGCACCAGACAACTCTGAAGGCAGAGTTATAAACAACTACCAGATAACACTAAGGAAGCAAGGAGTGGGGACAGATCTCATTGAACCTGGCTCTTGCTCTACAGGTCTGTTCGGAGACATGCTTCTTAATGGTTAACCACTTAACCTGAGAAGCCCAAGGGCATGCACTGGAATACAGTAATTTTAGTGTGTTTCACTGTATGTTGGTTTGACCCATTACATACAATGAAACAAAATAATCCTGAGGGTTAAACCGTCTACATAAACTGAAGGGCATGCACATGTCTACCTTGTTTTATTAAGAAAAAATAAAGATTCAGAAAACTGGCATGACTAGTTTGTTTCACAAACAGATCTTGGTATACTTTTTCCCCCTCCAACAGAAGATTACATGTCATTACAAGCAATGTTCATTAGGACACTGCAGAAAAATGTACAATAAATATTATCAGAGCTTTCAAAAGCTCATTATGAATTCTTTAAACTGTAGATAAATTAAAGAGTCTGCCAATTTGCACAAAACATCGCCTGTCTGGTCTCCACTTAGTCTCCTCTTTGAACGTAATCACTGATTCCAATAGATTTTATCAGCCTCACAGAACTTCAAAGCTCCTGAAAAGAAATGTGGTTTGCTGCAACCTCCCAAAAATATGCAGAACATCTTTAGACATTATCTTTTTCTTGCCATAAACTGAAATCACATGTTTTAGTGGTGGTCCGTGACCAGACTCCGCCCAGAAGCCTGGCTGTTTGCCAGATGTATTAGTGCACAGACATTTTTCTGTCTTACCTGACAGCAAACAGAGTTGTCATGGCAGTCAGTCTTTTAAAGAATTCAGATTAAACGGTTCTAATAATGTGCTTTAATAAAATGTAGATGAGTGTTCATTCCCTCTTAATTCACCAACAGAATACATCTATCTTCTATAACCTTTCTTGTGATAATTAGGAAACGAATGCATTTGTATTATTGCAAATGGTTAATTCAGTAAAAAAAAACACTGAAGCAAACATATGTTGAATGTAGAAAAACATTCCTTACAACGACATGATGTGATAAATGACAGAAATGAATGAAGATACGTGGAGTAACCAATATCAAACTAGTGACAAGAAAAAAGTGTGATAAACAGGAAATCAAGCTCTATAAAGAGAAGCAACAGCACATTCATTAAAGCAGTCAATTACACTTAAACTTAACAGTTACAACCCCTTCCACTTTGCCTTTAATGTGTACAACTGTCACATCACAATGCGTTTTTTAAAACTAATACATTAATCTTCAAAAAGATCTATATCTTTAGACTGTAGACCAAAATTCAGATGGTAATATTTTACTTTTGCCACAATTAAGAGTTCCAGCAATCAGACAAAGTACACATCACGCATGCAAACAAAAAGCTTCAGAGAGATTCTGAGTACTTCGATCTTCTTTTATAGAGATGCCCAAGCTGTGAAAAACCCAGGCATTAACCTAACAAAAAATTCTACTAAATTAATTGTACTTAATTTGAAAAGTGACAAGTTGCCTTCTGGTCTAGTTTCAAGAAGAGATTCGGAATATGTTAACCTTATTTTTAAAATTTTTCCTACGTAATGAGGAGTGAAGGGGCAATGACCAGTCCATCACAAAACCAGCCATTTGAAAACAATGATATTGAACTAAAGGCATGAGCAAAGACATTTGGCTCTCTGGTTTACTATGTAGTCTTGCATTGCTTTGAAACAGACATTGTGAGCAGAGTGCACCATATACCCCTTCTCTCCTACAGAGAACCCTTGTATAATTTTTGGCCCACTGGAACCCTAAATTCTGGTCAGTTACTGTTTTCAGTAATCATGAGGTCAAAACAGGCACTGATGCTCAAAGCAAACAAAGAGCTTTTAGCAGGATGCCAAGAAAGATACCAAGATCCTTCTGAGTGGCTGTGTTGTATGTTGAGCTACATGCAGATGTAATGTACAGTAGTGCAAATAACAGTCACATTCCTGTTCTACTTAGTATTTTACCTTTTAAACTAAACAAAATTAAGCAATTAAGAAAGCACTGGAATAAGCATCCTGTACACAAATAGTGCAGTGCAAAGAGAACTGTACACAAAGAAATGATTTGTCATTTTTCCCAGTTTTATGAAACCGCTTTTCATTTAAGGGCTCTCTCAAATGTAAATTCCTAATCACAGCACGCTGGGAGAGGCCAGTTTGTTGCAGTGGAGAGTTCAGCCACAGATGGTTTAAGGACTCATCTCAGCAGAGTTGGATCAGTGTCTCCACTACTTCAAGATAAGACCTTCCTATTTCTAGACAGTGAATTCCTCTACCAAGAAGTCTTAAGGAGCTATTCTTCTCCATCACCCTGATTCTCCTCCTTAGAACTTCAGCATGTGGTATGACAAGGATTGCCAAGAACAGCTCTTAAGTGTGCTACTGCAATCTTGTTCCACATGAAAATCATTCATCCTCAGCATTTGGGACAATCCTAATAAGTATGCTAAATTACGATTACAGGACAGGACTACGTGTGCCTATAAAAAGTGTGTTTTGTGTAGTAAAGTAGGTGGCACAGATTCTCAAAACAGAGCTAGATCCAAGAACATAAATATAACTTAATACAGCATTAAAACATTAACCATTTATCTTTAATGCAAATTCAAATGTAAACATTTCTGGTCCACAAGTAACATTTTATTAGATTTTTTTTTTTTAATTCTGAACCTAATTGTGTTCCTCATCATATAGAGACTAAACTAAGTCTAGGCCTAAAAAAATGTGTTGAAAAACTAAAATACAAAACTTCCAATGGTTGCCTCCGATGGGTTGTGGCAACCCACAGCCTATCCCCACAACAGATAGTGCAAGGTAACATTACACCCAGGATGGGATGCCAATCCACTGCACACCAAACATGCAGGGATATCCATTGAACCGATCTAGCTCACCTTTGGAATATGGGATGAAATCAGAACACTCAGAAAACCCACACAAATACTAGGAGAAACCTACACAGAAGAATTCCAGTCTGGGACACCCAGTACCCCAGCTGTGAGGCAGCAGTGCTAATAGTCACACTACCACCTTGATAGGTGTTGCAACACTTTAACAATAATCCCATCTATGTGTCAAACAGAGCATATTAAAAATAACTATGAATAGTGAAATGAATGAATCAGAAAAACACTAACAAATGTCAAGGCTTTCGAAGTGCTGAAACCATACAGGCATCCTATTACATCTACAGGTTTTAATTACAAACTTTAGACACTGTATTAAAAGGATAGGTTTCAGTCTGGACCCACACAGCAAGGACAAATATGACAAGAATATAATGAAAAATATCTTACACAGTCTTACCTGAGTCCTGTTAAAAGCCACACGGGCAAATACCGCCTGGGAGATTCCAGCTCTCTTGAGTTCATCACGCACCCACTGGTAAATTTCGGAAGACACCTCAGTGTTGGAGGAGACCTGCTGTTCGAGTGGCTTATTGAGGGAACGGCTGACTGGTGGGTGGTTCAGGTACTGCTGGCTGAGAGACTGCTGTGCTAAGATTCTGTTCACCGCATACTGCTGGTTTAAGATCTGAGCCATCACTATCTGCTGGTTGACCAGCTGAGGGCTGATGGGTGTGGACACAAGACCAGGGTGCAAGCTAGGCATCTGGGATCGAACTGATGTCTGCCCTCCATGAGGAAGCTGTACAGGGGAAGGTGGCTGTTCAGCAGTGCTTCCAGGAATAGGCTGCTGACTGAAATTCACATGGTTAGCGCCTGGTGGAGACAGGTCAGACAGGCTTTCCATTTCAGCTGCAATGAGAAGAAAAGGAAACGTGAAATTGCAAAATATTTCTGGAACATAGCTAGTCACGATATAAAAGAGTGCTCCAATACTGCTGGATAACTGAGGTGATCAAGGCAGACACCAACAACCCAAAGTGTAGCCAGTTTAAACAAAATAATAGATGTTCCCAATAATGCAACAGTTACTGTACATGCCATCAGATTTCTATTTAAGGAGGATGCTTTCTGAAAGCAGTCACCCATTACATTATATTCTATACTTTGATTCATAACATACTGAAAGCCATCAATATTCTTTAACAACAGCAAAGAAACATTGTACCAACAGCCAAATTCTAATGCCTCTTGAAAAGCCAAACTAAAGATACAAATTTTAAAAATGTTAAAAATTAAATACTAAAGTAACGCATAGCTCCAACAAAAAGGTACAGACTGAAACAAACACCATTTTAGGAGGACACTTCACATTCACATTTTTCTTGCACATAATGGAGTGCACTGTATGAACACAGAGATGCATTACTTAGTAGATGTGGTAATTAGTTTATAAACACCATGACAGTATCATGTGAGCAAAAAAAAAACCTTGGCCAGACAGAACTACATTGACAATTTTAAGCAAAAGTGTTACTAAAAATATATCCAAACAATAACTGATAAGCATAAATCATTTTGTACACTTTTAACTAAAATAATGTAATATGGAACAATCTAAATATAACCTGTCAAAGTTAGCAAAGCACTACAAACACGAGAAACCTAAGCTACCAAGAACTGAACCACGTGTAGAAAAGCATAAGGTTGGTTTTTGTTCTGCAATTTTATTTAATAGCTATATAGTTCAACCTGAGAATGTTAATATTCTTAATTTACACTTATCTAATTGTTATGTCTGCTGCTTTATTTTATATAATTAAATATCCCAACTATACATTAGGAAACTTGCAGCAACTTGACATTTCAGTTAAGCTTTAAGTGAGACACTGTACCATTACCGATATTATAACTAGAACAGTTGATATTTTTTTTCCCTATGACATGACTGGAAAGAAAAAAAATGGATCTACAGAAAACTACCAAAACAATATCTGAAGGATAGATGAAAGGATTGTAAAATATTATGTAGCTGAAAAAGGAAAATGGTTTGCCACAAAACACTTTAGCGTGCACTGAAATGTAAAAAACAGAAAATATTTTTACAATATTCACCATTACTTCCAGAACCAATTAATTTCTCTATTTCTCAGCGTTTGACAGAACAATATGCAGAGGAATAAACAGGTAGTCCGCATCTTTTTTCTGAATAATGAATTCCATGTGCTACCACTCCAAAATGAAAATCATTAAGAGTTACAGTTCCCTGGCAGTGCACAATACTAAAAAGAAAACTAGAAAAAGGCCAAAAGAAAGGAATGTCTCTGGAGACAAATTCTAAAGAAAATATCATAGAAATGGACATCACCCTACAGTGCACTGCAGAAAGGATTTCAGTGGAGGAAGAAAACCACAAGATCACATGAACACATGTTTCCAATGTTTCTTCCATCTCTAGGGGGGGAACAACGCAAAAGCCTATTGCGCATATTATTTTTTCCTCTCGCACAAACACTGACAACGTGGTTTGTCTTCACCAATCTATAAACAGCTAGGAAGCAAACTTCTTCATGTGGTCTGAAAATTAATCAAAAATGAAAGGGATGGCAAACCTTAAGAGATGTCCCTATGTTTGCTTCGCACAAAAAGCCAAAGCCATACAGCAAAATAATAATGAGAAGGGGTCATCACCAACAATGAAAAAAAATACAGCTATGGGACAAATACTTGTTCCATGAAGGAGCAGACCTCCTGAAGCGTAAAACAACAGGAAACCTTTTTTTTTCTTTGGAATAGCTCAGTGTGGAAAAGCCACTGCTCTTCATGGATTTCAAGTTTTACAAGAAGCCCCTAGCAATTTTTGAGAAATGTCACTGTTCTGGACCATCAAAAAGTAAAACAGTCATGTTTAGATTCACAGTAGGAGTTTCTCTTCAATGTAGTCCCTCTTCCTAAATCCTAACAATTCTCCTAAAACAAATATGTAGGATAAAAAAACCAAATGCTCCTCTGCATGCTCTGTATGTGCAAAACCTAATGTGTGCTCTAGACCTTCATGATCCTCTCAGAAGTAATCTGAAATCTGCAAAGTAACAACACAATGCACAGAGGTTTATGTGAAAATAAAAAATGACAAAACTTTAAAACCATGAAATCATCTTTTTATTAAGCTGCGGATAAACACAGTGTGTTCAGACTGCATTTTCTAAATGAAGAAATGTCAGACAGCAAGTAGTAAAATGGACTAGCAGCACATCTTGTCCTATAGAATATTGGACATGACTTAACATTAAAACAGAACTATTTACTTTATCACCCTTTCACTATAAGAACAACAGTATTGATTTTCAGAGTACAAAAAAAGCAGAGAAAGGCTTAGGCCATAGGCATCAGACTCTGCCAGTTTTGAAGCCTCTAAAGTTTCTATTTTCTCACATACCTACTGCAGTGGATCTTGGACTGTCGTGGAGAATGCATGTTTCCAGGTATCCCTCCAGCTGGGAGGGCTGGCACGCTACTGTGCAAATACACACGTACAAAAATATGGGAAAAATTCATTAAGCTACTCATTATGTATTAAATATTGCCTGCCACTTAACAGTCCCAAGACACACAACCTGGTATTAGGAAGTGAGGCCATATACTTGATGGCTAGCTGGTGTTGAAAGACTTTACACTTTAGACATTATTTTCCTATTTTTTAAAACATTGAAACTTAAATTAATCAGGCTGTCGCAAATAACGAAGGAACAAAACATAGGCTACACTTTGGTCTTGTTCATATGTCACAGGTCACTTTCCTGGAGCTAAATGTGAAATATAAAAATGAAAAGAGGGCTAAACTTTACCGTTTGATACAACACATACGTTACATTAAGACAAAGTTTCTGGAATTAAATGAGTTGGTATTTGGAAATGAGAATGTGTTCTGTTACTTGTTTCCTCAAGTGCAATTTTACTTGTTTGATCTGTTGTCTATTTGTATTAAAGTCATATGGCGTCACAGGAATACATTTGGTATGGGAATCCATACAAATGATCCATAAGGTATATTTATGCATTGTTTTAAGTATCGTTTAAATTAATTCTTTAAAATTTACACATGATAAAGCAGAACACAATGAATCTACACAACAAATCCCAAGAATCATAATTGTTGTATTACAAATTAAACAATCATTGAAGAATTTAGTAAGAACACCAGGTTGACAGCTGAATTGTAGTTGGAATTGAAAACTGGACTCAAGGTGGGATGATTACTAGGATTACAATTTTAAGACATTTTGCTTACCCATCATATCTTTTGTCTTCTTGAAATGTTTATACCACCGCCCGAATTCCTGACATTTTGCTGCCGAGACATTTGCATAGTAAGTGCTGTTCACAATGGAAGAAATCATACTCTGCAACAGAGAAAAGAGTGTTGTACAAAAAAAAGCTGCCAGGTTCAAATTGAACGTAATGTATTAAAATTCTGTTTTGTTCACATGCATCCTATATCTATTAAAGAAATTGAGCATTTCCTTTTTACAAAATAACAGGAATATTTCAGTTTAAGAGCCACATGCATTTCTATCTTTTTGTTGTCTAAAAAATATCCCTTTACAACAAATGCCAACAAGCCTGAGAGAGCATAAAGAAATTTTCAGTAGGGTTATTTAAGCTAAGCTGAATTCTGAAGCAATGGTAGTTTTATTTGGTGCACTTAGATTAAATATAACTGTTTTTTTAAAGAAATCAATCTTATTAAATTTTAGCCTCTAGAAATAGCCATTTAAAACTGCCACTTTGTTTTTCCACGTTAACTTTGAAGTGTTCAGTACAATCTGCTTTATTCCACTAGAAAAGTGCATATCAAAACTGCTGGGTTTCCAAATGACAGTCTATACCAAATTATTGAACACCTTAACTATCTGTATGTACATATAAATGACAAGTTGGTGTTGTCTTTAAATTTTATTCAACTTTTTTATGCATTCTTCAAAAACAAGAGAGATTTCTTTTTTATTAAATTGAAGCTGTTTCTAACACCTTATAGGCCTGAGGGTGAATAGCATAGAGATTGTTTTGATTGTTATAAATATTCAAAAGACGAAACCATCTGTTTTCAAATTACAGGTATGCCATCTTTACTATTTCTATAAAAATCTGAATATTTTGGGGCATTATTAGCCCTCTGGCTTTGTCTAAAAGACATAACAGTGACTTAACTCTTCAGCAGGAAGCAAAGATTTTTTTCATGACATGATGTTAAAGAAAATGCGATATGCATTTAAGTACAAAACAAAATCAGCTTCAGAGTGCAGAGGCAGTGCAAAACAACTTCTTTCTGAACAGTTTATCTCTTCTCCATAACCTTGGTATTGATGGAACATACTAGGGGAACTGTAAATGTAATTTATGACTCACCGTATTCTCAAAAATTACATTTCTGAATACAAAAAAAATAATTGCGTTTTTTTTAAGCCAGAAGACATTCCAATTGGTATATTACCTAAGGTTTGCATGATATTTTCAGTTAATTTGCCATTACACACTAATATTTAAAACCTTAAATGTCTTGTGTAGTATTAATTTTACTCCTAAGGAATACACTCAAGTTTCAGTCTGAAAGATTTGTGATTACATATGGTCCAAACAGGTCAACCCTTTCAGACATTACAGTACTTCAAAACAGAATTCTAATTCAAAAGAAATCAAGCAGGAGAGAAGCCTTTGCCTTAATCTCACTGACTTCTAAATGTTGTGAAACTGAAAGAAAAAATGGCTGATGTCAATCCTTTCAGAAGCATTTATTGCTGAAATTACTGAAACAATAACCAAATTATTTTATTGTCAAAGTTTTAAACACTTTTCTCTTTTGGGAAAAAAAACTGCATCTATCATTATCATTATTATCGTTAAAATATTGATGTAATGATTCTCAGCAGGGTCTACTGATGACTCCAGAATACCAGTGTCTTGACACAGATGTTTTAATAAATGTAATTCATTAATCATGCATCTCTTGCAATGCATCAAAACTGTCTCCTGAGATACTGTCTTGGTGTATTCACAGCAAGAACAGCAACCAAATACATACACACATACAGTTTCCATTACATTAGCAGTTTTCAACAGGTACAGGATAACACATGGCCCCTTTAAATTACGATTATCTACAACCTGATCAGAATGCCCAGGAAGTCACAGAAGACGTTATCAGGTAAAACGATCTATTTTACTTTCCGTGATGGGAGAGACACAAAGATGAGTAGATCTACAAATGTGACTCCCTTTCAACTCTTAGTTAAGTTTCTTATTAACCAAATTTTTAATCCCTATTGTACTAGAAAGACGGCACCTCTCCCCTTCTTTTAAAACATCTTAATCACAACCTCTTTTGACACCAGTTCAGGCAAAATAAAAAAATCTATTACTTCAGATTCTGACAGCTCTAGAAAGCAGTCCACAAAGATGGCTTTTGATGGCTATTTGCTGCTATGCAACTAAACAGCTGCTCTTTCAGGGGCAGGGGGTGGGTGGGGAATTCTTTTGTTGCTCTAGTTTCAAAGAGGACAGGGGTTAAGCCTGATCACTGGAAAATATCTCTTGAAAGACTGCTGATGCATGAGAGCAAATTCATAAAATTAAGAAATTGTAAAATAAGTAAATTTATAAGCAAATAAGTACATTTATCTTTAAAACAAAATGTCCTTTCAAAGCTAAAGAGACTATACATCAACATAAACCAAGCAGCAATTCTATTGATTTAATTTTCTATTTACAAGTCTTTCCAATATAAATATACAAAATGAATGTTGTGTGCAGTTTATTCCAATGCCCAAACCATGACTACAGTCTCTGATCTACATGAAGCAATAAAAACATTACTGTACCAGAAGACTACGAAAAAACAGTCATATAAAAAAAATTCCACTTTCAAGATTTGATCAAATGAAGGGTAGTTCCATCAATGAATTCCACTTTGTTAACCTTTCTTCATTGGATTCCTGTGCTGAATGTCTGGCAAACACTAATCCTAAAACAGATGTCAATCAATTCTTGCTAGTCAAACAGTCTTCTCTTTATTTCCCCCTTTTCTAGTCACTCATGAAGTATAAAGCTAGCTCACCTGCTGTTAAATGTGTCTCATTCTGACATTAACAGAATAATGTACAGTGACTGGTTTGGCCAGTAGAGTAGGATTTTATATTTGCATCCACAAGGGTGTGAACTCTGAAGGCAGTCAAATCTACTTAAGGGAATTCTTGACATGCAAACATTAAGCACACCACATTATATAGATCTGCTAGGATTGGACCTCATTTCAGGCTTAATGACACTGAGGGACTATTTACAACATTGCAATTCTATATTCTTTTCAAACTCACAGTTGCCTGAAGCATAAATTATTATTGTTGTTCTGGGAAGGCAATTCTATACAGGAAATATGAACATAAATTTATTTCCACCTTAGATTGTTCCTGTGCTAGATGCAATAAATATACTGCTCTCTTTCATGAAGGCAGCAAGGAAAAAAAATGAATTATAAATTTGCACTTAATGCAGGAATGCCAAATATTTATTTTATATGATACAATATTTTGGAGCTTTTGTTTTGTCTAAAGCAGATAAATGAGGGTGCAAAAAACATGACACAAGCCTGATAATTGCTAAATAAATAGGGCTTCAAAGAAATATTATACTAAAAATTCAGGTTGTCCAATGTTTTCCAACACTAAACCTCACAAATGCATACACCAATTGTTAAATATTCACGATTTTACCATTTACATTTGCCACAGATTTGAAGTGCTTTGTCTGGTTCAGAAAACTGCTTTACACTCCGTCAGGCATTTGGCATTTGAAAAGGGACACTGCAGTTGCTGTTACTGTATTTTGTTTGTTTAAAGCTTCAGCACCTGTGACAAGGGACATTCTTTAGCCAATGAGCTCTGGTTCATGTCTTTCAGTAACTCCTTGAGGGCATTTCTTACTGTGGAATGTGTCCACTGTTCAGGAGGCAAGTCTTCCAGTTTAGGGCAACTGCATGGAGGGGATAGATTAAAGAGAGGATTAATACAAGGCTGCATCCTGCTGCAAGCATTCCTTTAAGACAGACAGATTTCATTTGGCGCATCAAGCAGATGCATCTGGAGATTGCTCTCAGTCTCCTGATTGTTCTGATTAGTTAATTACTTTATACAACACATCTGCTGTATTGATGCATGAATTATACATCAGCTGCATGTGGCGACTATTATTTCATGTTACTTCTACCTTCCTGCTCTGATGTGCTTGGTGAAACAATTTAAGGTGTTACTGCCTAGATTCAGTTTTAACCTATAATGTACATGAACACGAGAACTTAAATTTCATACAGTATAATACATACTGTACTTGCAGCACAATTATGAAGTCTGTTTTTGCCTTACCCTAAAATAAATGCATTTATAAGACACGTTGCTATGCGGGAAAAACATGCTTTCAATTACATTAAGAAATCGCAAGCAATGTTCTACAATTGTGCATGTCTTCCATAAATGTCATCACATACTCAAACCTCTTACATCACATACACAATGTCCATCACAGACAGCAAGACATGAAACAGATGCTGCTCAAAACATGCGTCTGATTGAAGTATTCAATACAACCTTTTTCATCAGACAACCTCTGAACACAATTGGTGTAAAAATGAAGGAAACAGAAATGTTTAGGAACACCTTAAAAGTGCTAAGAAGCCTGCAAGCTTACAGAGAGGAAAAAAAAAAAAAGAACAACAATCCTGATAAACAGTCATTTATTCCCCACGACTGGTGTGTTGTGACTAACCTGTGTAACTGAATTTTCAGTGTGACCACATGATACACATCCTGCAGCATGTCTGCCACTGTGGCGTCCGGTGCATCTGTTACATAGGAGAGGGGGACTGGATTCCACTTGCCAACCTGGATTAGGCCTGTCACAGAGAGAGAGAAAAGAAGAGGACTCGGTCTTAAATCCTATGGTACAATACACCACAAATCAATCAAGTGTAAGAACAAAAACAATACTGCCAATAAATTACAGACTGTTTGTGGACATAACTATGCCCAACATAATTATTCTTGAAATGCCTAATAAAATCCATCAACAGTTTGCTTGCTACAGAAGATTGCTGCATTTTTAAAATATCAAATCTTATTCTGACAGCATTTAAAATAGGCATGTATGACTGTACACAACATGCTGAAGAACATTAGATAAATGCATATTTTATAATACTTTTGCTAAGCATGATATTTTCCTTGACTAAAAGTGAAATTGGCAAACTTGCTGGTATTTCATTGCTTTACACAACAATTTAAAAAAAAGTTAAAGATTACAGAGGGAAAAAGTTTAACATCTTAAAATAGCTGGTGCTACAGGAGTATAATTACCATAAACTCATCAAAGCCAAGTCTACCTTCAGTCCCACCTGGAAAATGTATTATTAGAATCAAGAAAAGTGAAAATCTGTTCAGGGTTCACTCTGAAGCAGAAATGATTCACCTTAGCTTTAATGTAGTGCCTTCTTTTAATTAGATGTCACCTTGTTATATATTTGTGCAGTAAAGTAGATTTTCAATAAACACCCACAGCAACTTGTAATTATTATACATTTTAATTAATGCCTACCTTTTGCCTGAGCTGCAGAACTGTGGGAATATCCGAGAGAAAGCAGTGCCATTTCAATGAGCTGGTTGAAGAGCATGTCCTTTCTCACTAACACAAACTCTGCATGCTCCTCTTTGCTGTCGAATTCAATAGGACTCTCATAATGCTCAACAACACAAAACACTGGAAGCATGTTCCCTACAAAGAGAAAGATAGCACTATCATGTGAAAGTAGTAGTAGAAAACATGTATCTTGATCTTTCCATTACAAAATCAGAAAGCTTTAATGCTTTAAACATTAACAGAAAATGTGTTAGGACACCAAATCAACATGCCTTTCTAACAGAAATACCCAAAAAAGATTTGTACTATTTAACTTTTACTATAAAGCAAAAAGCACAACCCAAGTTTTATCAGCCAATAGAAATGTCTATTTAAGACATGCATTTTCTTAGTAAATCACTGCAAAATAGAGAGAACGTTTAAATAATAAAACTTACCAAACACTCATACATAGTAAGCACAGAGTCATAATTGTCACTATTTTACAATAGTTAAAAAATGTATAGAAAAATAAGGTTTACAGTCCATCCAGAAACCTGCATCTCTAAATAAGGTGGTTTAACATTTGTTCTTTCTGTCAGTATTTTGCTCCCAAATATAGATACACACTGGATGCACTTAAAACCTGGGTCAATTCAAATCAGAATTAACAGAAAATTATTTCACAACCAAATAATCAAAATGTGCCTTTTTCCCCTTGGCCTTACAAATATAAGGAAACATTGCAAAGGTGTGCATACTACATTTGACCACCTTTCTATGAAAAGGAGCAGCATTACATAGACTTCCTGCCAGCTGGCTTTTCACAATTACTTTACAGTTCCTAGAACTCTCCCTTCTGCAGCAGAGGCAACTTTCAGTAACCTCCAACATAAAAACTAGAGAATGCTGGTGACCAGTAGGAGCTAAAAATACAGTATGATTTAAAGCTAAAGGCAGTGTTAAACTTTTGCATAAGGTTTACGAGTCTGGGTAAACAGCATGCTGCCATAAGAAGAAATAAAGTCTGTAGAATCCTTGTCTAAAACTGTCCTGGCATTACAGTTTGCTGTGCAAATATCACATAATACCAGACAGCTGAAATCTTCTATTCAGGAATTTATGGAACTTATAACTTTTCAGGCGTCAGAGAGTCTTTTTTTATATAGCCCCAGTGATTCGTGGCATAATATTAATGCACTCTGTTTGAGAAGCCATAATAAATTATATTTTTAATGCTCTTACCCTGGCTTTCTTAAGATGCATACATTCCTGGCAAACAATCAATAAATAGGGTAATCATGAGCAGAGGCCAAAGAATTTGCTGAAGTGCCGCTTTTCCATTTTTAATAGATAAAGATCTAACAATAAGGACTGCTGTGTAGGTTCATTTCAGGATCAATATGTGCTTTGTTTTCAGGGAACACAGAAAAAAATAAACGACTGTATGGTAAATGTTATTCAGCTAACAATAAATTATGCTGCTTCAAAACTTTGCAAATGTTTTGCAACCTTTCAGAAGTTTTTGAATATTACATTTAAAGAACAAGTGTGCTGGGAGCTATAGCTCAGTTCAGAGAATTTTCTGAAAACATTAAGACACAAAAACTCAGCTGGAGTTTCTATAAACTGTTGCAGTAGCCACATAAAATAGCCACTCTTTCAATAAAAGCTATGTTCCCCATAACACTGCAAAAGCAGTACATTTACACATATTAAAAGATATATTGACAGACAACACTATTTTGTAAATTATTATATTAAATTATAAAAGTCTCAAATGTTTCTAGGGATACAGCATACATATAGACCATAACATGAAAACTTTCTGAAACCTAATCTTATTTCACCAAACATCTTCCCAAAATGATTTCAAATAAGCCATTGCTACAAAACAGCATAAAACGAAAAACCATCCATCTCATTAAGGAAAGCAACGTTTCACTATGAAAGTCTTTTTATTCCAGATGATCACCTGATCAGTGAAGTCATAATTACCAACCACCAGCTGACCTGAAGTGCTAAAAAAAAAAAATGGAAGAGTTACCTCTCTTATGACATGTTTTCATCAAGTGTCCACCAGGTTTCAAAGACACCCCGGCAAGCTTGGCCCCCGTGCTTCCTAAACGGCTCCTTCCAAGAGGGCTTCCATTCTGCTCCAGACGTGCGATCTTGGTCGGTGGTGCCTTGGGATCTCCAATGCTATTGGGAAGCTCGCAGTTCTCCTTCCCATGGCAAGGATCGCTGAGATGATCCATCATCTTCAGCGCCACCTTTCAAAGTCACCTGTGAGAAAAAGATTGAATTGCGCAATGAGCAGACACAAAACACTTCAGCGCCACTGACGGTCAGGTTTACATAACAGAAAACAGAGCAATGCTCAAACCTTGTCTCTCCACCCACAACCTTGGCTGTCTACAGGTTATGGAAATGACGTTTTTTTGAAGAGTTAAAAACGTGACAACTCATTCATAAAAAGCCCACTCAGTAATGTCCACAAAGACAGTAACATGTTAACAAAGAACTATACTAGTGCCTTAAAATAAGTCCATATGAACCTAGGTCTTAAACTATTTAGACTGTAAGAAGTTGATTAGAGTCATTTCTAAATATTGATACTGAATTACACAAAAAGTCTTTCCAGCTTCAACAAGGGACTTATCTGACTCCATTTTTAATCTCATGTACATCTGGTTCATTATTAATGTAATAGTACAACAGTCTCTTCAGTAAGAACCTTAATAAGATAGCAATTGGTACAAACAGACCCTTTCAAGTGACATTTGAAGAGGCCTTTTATTGCACACTGCATGGGAAGTAATATGTATGGAATGATCATGTCCTTGCAAAAAGAGAACAAGCTACTAGAGAAACTGCATATTCATTTTATAAGACAAAATTAGCTCTTATTTTTTAATAACATATTTACTGATTTTTTTTAAAATAATTTAATGAGCCTGAAATTACTGAAGCTCTTATGTCTGGTATTCCAAACAAGTTGCCCAGTTAACCATTTGTAGACTTGTAATGGGTTTTCATACACCAGCTCAGTCTGTAGACTCTTCGTTGGAAGGAAAGGTGAAGGTTATAACAATGCTAATTGTTTTCACAAAATGATTTTGAGATACATTTAGAACTCCTTCATATCTTATATTCATAGAGTGCAAAGTGACATTACTTTTATACCCATTAAATCACGCAGTGAAAAAGCGTTCTGTGACAAACTGTTACAAAGGGTGCTAAAGCAAATAAACAGATTTTGGAACCCTATATGAAACTGTATAATTCTGTAGTTTATTTTTTCACACATTTCCCCTTTTATCTTAATAAGCAATCATTGTATAGTTTATGACATCACAGATCCCCTTTTAAAAACTATATATTATGTATGCCTATCTCTCTGTATTCCCACGAGGAAAAGAAAACAAGGCACAGTATTATACAAAAACATTAAATTGATTTCTGCATTAAACAGTCCATGTACTTGGATGTGAAAAAGACTAAATATTAAGAATCACATGTAAACTTTTATAAACGCCTTAAGCAAATATATTATGCAAGATCTTACATGACACCACCAATTAAATTCTTAATTCACCACCAGGACCCCCAAGTTCTCTGCCGTGAATTTTTTTTTAAACTTTCACAACTTTCATTTGCATATTCTTGATAATATTGTACATAGAGCAACCTTTCACAATGGGAAATGTTTACTCAAGCAGAATAAAACAAAAAAAAGCACTGCCCGTTTGTTCTCTTTGCCGCTGTTTTTCAATGTCAAAAAGGTACAGTATAGTATTACACAGAACAGCTGGTAACTCATACTGGAGGTTACAGGAGTACAATAAACTACAGGGAGACAATCTACAGAGGTCCGATGAACAGAAATGGTTATTCCTACCTCATTTCTGGATTTTTACATTAATCTATAGTTTTAAAAGTTTTCCTACCACAAAGAATATAACGAATAAACAAAAGATAAAAACATGGAAAAATCAAGCTTTTACAAATAACAAATTTAGAACACCGCCTCTTTTAAGACATCTAGTGTCTTCATTGCTTTCAAAATACCTGGGTTATGAGATACTTTTTTTAGTTTTCCAAACTTAACCTCATATCATCAATATCGGAGCATGCTAAATAGGTTTTACTTGTTTAAAATATCACAACATTCATACTGCATTATAAGGCAACAACATTCATATTAAGATATTTTAAAACAGTAAGGACTAATCCCAAATATAGCTGTTTCGATATTCATATATTTGAAGACATTTTCTTATGCATGCATAAAAGATCATTCTAGTTATTGGCAAACTTCTAAATTCCTAGCATTCGGTGTTATCTAATTTTCAAATTCAAGCCAAAATACAGTCCAGATTCCGTATTTGGTGGTGTTCCAGGTCAGGATTTTGAGATGACCTTTTAAAAAGACAAAGAGGCAAGAGTACTATCTAGAAACAGAAACAGTGCAGCTGAACTCAAATTAGGAAAACCAACCTGAAACTCACCACTTCAAAACTTGAAAGCATATACACAGCAGCCTGGGTGAATAGCGCCTTCTTTTACTTAAGTTCTTTCAAAGGAAGGAACACTTGAAAGTTTGACGCTTTCTAGGTCTGTATGACAGCAGACATTAATACTCTTCTTTAAACGGATTGTATACGCTCTCCCCAATAGGCGAAAAAAGGCGATTTTCCAAGAGCAGCAGACGAAATGTACAAAACCGAGAACTTTATCTTGTATAAAAAACGATAACATGGATGAGAAATTAACTCGGTCGATTTCTTATATATTTCAAACAACTAATTAACGCTGACGCGGAGATAAATTCTTATCACATTAAGCTAGACATTGGTACACCTGAAACGTATTCCTGAAAAGTACAATACCGGTTACAAGTGCATAGAGTTCTCCTGCGGAGTTACCACTATTCAGCACAAAAAATACCAAGTGTGCACCGAAAAAGCAACGATCGGAATAAGGATAAACACATACTTATGTTCTCTTGTTATAAACTGGGTAGGGAAAATATGTAAAAAGATCCCCAACAGTGCGTTAGTTTTGCCTCTACTGTCCAGGAGAAAATGCGAAAACGACCTGTCTTCCCATTTAAAAGACGATGTGCGGTTTTGCAGTCACTAACAGGTATAAAAGTGCGTTATAGCTTCCAATCGAAAATACGGATTAAACGTGCTAAAAATTAAAGTCTGATCCCTGTGTTGTGATGTTTTCTGGTCGTTTTTTGTGCCCGGACGGAGCTTCTCTTTCTCTCTCTCTCCCTCTCTCTGTGTCCCCATTAAATTATTAGTTGTATTGACTCATCACTCCCCTCGCTGGTGCTGCTACTGCCTCTCCTCTTTCTCCTCATTTCAGTAGAAAATAACGCCGAAATGATCGGGTATTAAAGAGCGTACGGAACCACTCAAAACATCACGCCGTGTCATCCGATGTCCTAGCGAAATTAGGACCTGAAAAATAAACTAAAAAGTGGAAAGAAAACAGAGGAGGGTGCGATTTCCGGCTGTGCGCGCAGGAATTTTTAATCAGCTTGATTAGAGTGAGGCGGCTCTGCATTTATTACAGAATAACACACACACACTAGCACACACACAAATACGTCTGGTAACACACAATGCGAAACAAGGAAAGGAGATTACAGGCATCGTAACTATAAAGGAATATATTCAGATAAATACATTATATAAACTACCTATTAGAACTATATTATAGTTATGTGCTCCATACGTCAGTTGCATCTCCGGTAGCCAGCTGATCATTATAAGCAAAAGCAAAACAGAACGGGCACTGTGTTCATGTATTATTAAAAGGATATCCTGCAAACAACATAATATCTATTTCTCTTAAAATAAAAAATATACCTTCTTTTAATACGTGACAACTAAATGTATTTTTCAGTCGAAAAAGCGTTGCAATATTTTGGGAATATAACTTTACCAATGAAAATATATTATGCGCGCATGCTGTATGGATTATACTCGGTATATCAAAAAGTATTGGGAAAACGTCAAAAAATATTGCAGAATTTTACACAGCACAAAAGCACCCGCCATATGGCACTGAACAGGCGAAGCACTAGGAGCAAGGGAATTATTAGCATCACAGAATAGACTGAATATCTGAATTAATAACACATGCTGCACGCAGGCAGGATACAGCATTCACAGGTGACACAGCGCACAGTGCTGAGGAAAAGAGAGATTATTAGCTGCGCTGAACAGATCAAATTTCAGAACTAGCAGAGCCTGACCATAACACAAATGACACTTGCATTATCCATACACACAATAGGAGAGGGGGTAGAGGCTGGGTAGGAAAAAAAAGTGAAGTGGGAAGAAAACTCATGTACCCTCACCAAACAGCCGTTTCAAGTTACATTTATCCTAGGAAAAAAATAAATCCTGCACAAAATTGCCTGAAACTAGATTTAATTATTGTCTCCATCACCACTTCACAAATTCAGTGCAAATTCAGTCAAAATAGGCACAAGGTGTTTATTTTATCATAATCTTGTAGTTACTGATTTGCTAGATTTCCTCTAGCATAAAGAATGATGCAAATGCAGTTCAACACTCTTTAAATATGGAAGTCTAAACAATTATTTTTATAGAGAAGGCAGAATATGTAGGAAAATGTGAGATATTAAACATATGCTTGCTTAATCAAAGTACCTAGAACATCAACTGCTGCACAGATTCAAACATTAAAGACATAAGCAACATGCAGCATTTACAAATTCAGAGATAAAGGCTGGAAAATATGAGAACATACCTTGTCAGAAGCATAACAACAATAGAAAATACTTTTGGAATAAAGGCAAGACACAAAAGTCTTTAAAAACAATAACTGTGTAATAAATGTAAAACCCCAAAACACTTCAAAACAATTAACATGAACTTCAAAACAGGAAACATAAAAAAGCCAACGGGAAATAAGGCAGTGTGGATGAAAACATAATTAGAAAAGACACAGTATGTGACTGATCAGATATCAGAAATGCCTTCTAAGTAACTGTCCCAGTATTGCTCAGTTTAGATGGTGATACAAAGGTGAAAGTCATATATTAATGTGCAAACCTCAAAATTCAAATTAAATATTAAATATGGGGTTTCTGGGGGAGGAGCACATGCATTAAATGAATTCAGTGGCAGAAAACACAAGGCAAATAAAATAAACTAACACATACAGTACTGTAGGTATTCGGGTCACACAAATGGCACAAACAAAATGTTAAATAACTGAAAATTAATACATCAAAAATGAAATATACATGATAGTATATAGGCAATTACAAAAAATGAATTCATTATAACAGTTGAGGTTTGCAGATTGAGATTTTCTTAATCCGTATAAGTGAGTACTTTAAAATTTAAGTAAATATAGAATGCAGTATTGTTTCTTTTTGTATAATAGTCTCTAAAGTATATACAAATATTTAAATTTAATAGATTTAGTTTACTCAATATACAACCAACAGCTTTATTGTTACATTAAACAGGTTTCAGAAAATAAGGTAAATGAAATGCTTGGTATGGTTTTCTTTGTATGCAGTTATGTCTTTGGAGAGTTCTTCCTGGAGGTTACTGTAGGAATCTAGGATTCAAATTGACTTAGAAAAAGCAAGCATACCTGTTTTGTCTGCAATACCACAAAAACATAGACACCATTCTTCACATAACTGTACATAAACCACATTTTGGCGACATAATAATTGCCAGACACAATGCCAAAGGAAATACTATCTTATAATTACAGTGCATGTAAATGACAGCTGACAGCAGTGGGTTATGCATCTCAAGGAAATGCCTCTCATAGGAAGTGCTATGCTATGCACCCAGGAATCACACATATCTGGACTTTGAATAATGCTTTATTAAGCAGTATGTAATTCACAAATGTAAGAAGTTTCAGAAGGATGTCACCTCGGCAGCTATGGTTGTTTAAGAAATTTCAGGATTGTAAACTAGCATATGAAAATAAGACTATAAAGAAAGTATCGGGAGTGTTTCAAAACACCCTTATGCTTTAGGTCTTTCAGTTCTCAGCGTATAAGAGTGCGCATTAAACAAATGGTGGGCACTTGCATGAAGTCAAAATACTGTTTGATTGGGCTTAATACTCCGTGGTGCATCCCTTATAGAAGGCAGTGCTATACAAAACTTAGTATGGACAAGGCTAATAAGCATAGTCACAGGATTGCAGATGGATTCTCAAGACTATCTTATTGATTGTGGCACAGAATCAGTATGACAGCATCGTGAGAAATGTATTTTCCTATAACAACTCTACAGGTTTTGACTGAGTATAGCCTACTCGTGTACAAAGAGATTCATGTCTACCACCTGATGTGCCAAGAGTTGTGAGAGTTGTGAAGAGCTGACCGTCTTTGGTGGAGTGGGCATTGTGTGACAGAGTCTGCAGGAAGCACCATCTTTAGGGAAAATGTTTTCCTTGCTCATACCTGTAGTGTAACACAAAGATCAAAACACAGACAAGGCTGCTCTGCTATGCCCTGTCAAATCCCCTGACATGAACGCAGTGTATCAGGTGTTACTTATCCTTAACTGATTTTTCAAGTGTCCCTTTACAGCTACAGATATAGTGCCACCACTAGGATGCAAACCTGAAGGTCAGGATTCTTGGCCTTGTCCACATAGTGGCCACGCAGAAGTCAGTGCTACCTTAGCAAAAACAAAGGACAGGACCACAAAGCATTACCTCCAGTTATCATTTTTCCAGTATTTCCTTTTGTCTCTTGAAAACCAGAGCCTGTGGATAGTGTATAATTAACAGATATCATTTTTCCTACATAAAAAGAATCGCTGTCAATAATAACTACCACCTTTACCTGAAATGCTTATTAACTACAGAAGATGTGGTCAGTGAGATAAATTGTAATTGACATCACCCTTGCTTTGCATATGCATTAAAGCATATAATGTCTGTTGGATTAATCTGCTTTGATGGCTCATTGTTTTTTTGCTAATTTGTTTTTATTTTAAATAATGTATGAGCCTAATCAATTGGGAAATGATGACTGATATATTGTACTATAAAATGAAACGGAGCAAATTTAACAAAGGAACATCACACTTTTTTACCCGTCATCTTTGATAAAAAATGTTTTTTTTTTAATGACTTTGCTTTGTGTTGAAACAGATAATACAATATTTCACGAAATTATTTTATTAGGTATTCCATAGCTGAAAACTACAATGACTGTGGCTTTAAAAGTGATCAATTTATAATCCCCTACATATGCACAATATGCATCTACTGTATGTAGGTGTAATAAAATGTTCTTATGATGTTTCTTTGTTTGTCAGTCACAATGTCTAATGTGCATTAACACGATTATTTGGATTGCTATTACAAATTGTTTCCATGCATTTAAACAGTTTGTGGATAAAAACAGCATGGGGTAGAGCTACAGTATCAGTGCTGCTTTAGCTGTAGCCGAGAAAATGACTGTGCAGGGTATTAGGACAACTGTAAAAAACTTTCTTTTTCACATAAGAAAGTTCACATAAGTTCACATAAGACCAGCGACATTTTAAATTTCAAATAAGACACTAAGTGTTATTAATCACTCCTTGATTACATACAATCATGGTGAAAGTAGATGTAGTGTACAATACATCTTCTAACATTGAAGTCAGCATTACATAGCTTAACATAAACACTATACAGATCTAATATTCAACGGTAAGGGGGAGTATTAAAATTGTAACTAAAAGTTTTAGAAAAGAAAAGATGCAAGATGTCAATGTCAAAATTGTGAAGTAAAAAACACCAGTTTTGAACTTGGTAATCTTTCATAAACTTTCTATTTATGAGCAGAAATACATCAAATTCATTGAATTAATTAAATATTAATATACACATTTAAAGGGGGCTCAAACACTCTTTTCAGAACAGTATTATGTCATGTAACACTGAAGTATTTGTTTGCATTTTTAATAAATGGTTTGGTTTCGTATAACTTACCTTCATGTCAGTACAGTGGTGCAGACTAAATGCAAGAGAAAACAGCAGGAGTAAATGGCTAAACTGGACAGGCAAAATATGTCACTGGTCTCTGTTGCTTATAATGAACCTCATCATACTGAAAATGTAAAGAAATTATATATGATCCCTTGCAGGCAGTAAAGAATAAGTTCACCTTTGAAAATAATGATAGCGTTTATAAAGCAAACTTTATGCACTTTTGTAACCTCATACCCTTGATTTAAGACATTTTGAATTTGCATAATGAAAATAATTTCTTCTTATGTAGGTAATACTTGAGCTGCTAAGAACTTTTCCAGTGAAATACTCACACAAAAAACCTTAGATGAAAAGCATAAAGCCTCTTACATCAACATATTTTTTCCTTAAAAGACCAACATATAGTATGAATATAAAATAAGGAAAACACGGACTAGTTTTCCATGCTTAGTAGCATTAGTCTGAGACAATATAGTTATTTGTTATTTTATCATATTGATGTTAAATATATGTTACCTT